TGCCTGGAACACCACTACTAGTGTGCCCTTGAGTAAGGCACTTAGTCCTTGGTTACTCCAGGGAGAATGTCCCTGTAATTGGTCATTGTAAGTCGCTTTGGAATAAGGCGTCTGCGAATTGCCTGAATTGTAAATTGTAAATGATATTTTTGGGAGAATAAACCCCCATCATCAACTCTGGTGTGTTTCACTCATTAACAACGCAACACAGAGTAGACCCTCCAGAAAAACGCGGGCAAAAATCCTTTATTATGCGGGCTAAATTCCTTGATTATGCGATTAAACATGCGGGGTTTTTACGTGATTTTATGCGGTGAAATTGCGGGAAGTTGCGAAATATGCGGAAAGTTGCGAAATATGCTAAATATGCGGGGAAAAAGAATAACAATTTTTTTAAATATTGGGCTGTCTTATTTATTCTCTCTCACACACAACCTGCCACTAACGTTAAACCCCTTTACTATTCAATTAAACACATTCAATGTTTATTTATTGTAAAAGCAATTGNTTGAGTAAGGCACTTAGTCCTTGGTTACTCCAGGGAGAATGTCCCTGTAATTGGTCATTGTAGAAATGCCTGAATTGCCAAAAATATAATTTACAATTTACAATTCAGGCATTTCTACAATGACCAATTACAGGGACATTCTCCCTGGAGTAACCAAGGACTAAGTGCCTTACTCAAGGGCACACTAGTAGTGGTGTTCCAGGCAGGATTTGAACTCGCAACCTTCCGATCATCAGCCCACCTCACTATCCATTAGACTTTTTTCTTTTTTTATGAGATCCATTTGTGGCGGACGATATTTAATCGTGGCAGCCCGCCATAAATAAATCAATGTATGGGAAACACTGGCGTCCATAGATGTCCCGCAGTGTTGTCCAACAGCTCTGGGGAAAGTCAGGCTTGATTTGTTGCTTTCATTTTGCTTTCCTAATGACATAATTCAGATAAAAGTGTTCAAATGGACCGGAAGCTGAGGCAGGAACACTAGCTCTGTATCCACACTGAATATTAACTTCTGAATGAAAGAAACAAGCATAATTTGTTCCTTATACATGATTTAACCTTGTTTAACCATGTTCTTGTTACATTGCCTACTCAACAGTTTTATAACAGGCTATATTTAAATAAATCAGTGCCGCGTCGCCAGAGAGAAAACATTATGTCAGAAAGCTATTTGGAGAACCAATTATATTCTTTTCCACCTATCACGTCATTTAAATGAGCATCCATGATACTAACAACATGAAACTAGGTCTTGTAACAAATCTTAACAAAATGAAGACTAAAAGATAACAAAATCACCAATCTTGATTATTTTTACGTCAGTTCATGGTCAACTAAAATGTCTTATGGTGTCATCACTAGGTATTCCACCCTTTACCCAAACAAAGCCATAACACAGTCCTCCTTTAATAACCATTTGTCTCGGTCCCCAGGGAACCAAGAATCACCCTCAGACGGCCCTGGAGCAGCAGGTGGAGTCTATGGGAGCCCACCTGAGCGCCTACACCTCACGCGAGCACACAGCGTACTACATGAAGACCCTCGCCAAAGACCTGCCTAAAGGTGGGAGGAACTTCAGATCATGATGGGATTTGGGTTTATGCCGTAAAGAAAAGCTGAAACTAAAACCTCATTGTATCCAGCAGTGTCCCCTTTTAGCTTTGCCCACTTGAGGTTGATAGTGCCTTGAGTGGCCATTATAAAGGGGTAGATTATGATCCTCTCTGATGACCTGGGTCAGGGGTCTCCCCTCTGCCTCTGGACATCTCGGGAAGAACAAGAAATGAAGTTCAGAGAAGATGCTTGAACATTGGTTTAGTAATGGAGACCCGTCTCTGCGTAGAAAACTATTGTAGATATTCTCTGATCTAGAATCCCAAATATAATTGAATGTATATAGGTTTTATTACATCGTCTTTGTTTTACACTGTTTTATTTTATTTAGTTTCTTGTGTTTTAATGTCCTGTTTTTATTGGAGAGCACTGTGTAACAATGTTTGAAAAGTGCTCTATAAAAAAAGTGTGTTACCTTTAGTTTGATACATTCCTGGTCTTATGGGTCTAAGTTAGTAAGACCTTCACAAGTAAGTGCACACAAACTAAGATAGTTATTCCTCTGTGTTTCCAGCCGTGGAGCTGCTGGCCGAAGTGGTGCAGAGCTGCTCTCTGAACGAGGCAGACATCGAGCAGCAGAGAGGCGTGGTGCTGCGCGAGCTGGAGGAGGTGGAGGGGAACCTGCAGGAGGTTTGTCTGGACCTGCTGCACGCCACCGCCTTCCAGGGCACTCCTCTGGGACACAGCGTGCTGGGACCATCCAGCAATGCCAGGCAAGAGGATTCTCAAACACACAGTTAAAGGGGCCATATTGTGCTCATTTGCAGGTTCATATTTGTATTTTGTACCTCTCCTGTGACATGTTTACAAGCTTAATGTTCAAAAATATCTTTATTTTTCACCCTCTGTCTGAAACCAGAGCCCGGTCTCCTCTGATTGGTTAGATGGCGTTGTGATTAATCAACTGTACTGTACAATGTGTTGCAGCGCTAACCAATAGAAGCACAAGTGTTACATAGTGATCTCACTCAGACAGGGGGGGGAGTGTGTGGGAGAGAAACTCCTATTCCACTCTACAGTAAAAGGAAGACCCCTAAAGCATAATAAGTCCACTTTAAATATCAGTCACAATCTCAGAATAGCTTTCATCAGACACACTGCTGTAAAAACTGCTGTGATGTGATGGTGCTAATTCTGGTTAGTTAGTGTTGTGTAATAGAAGCTTCGAATGAATAACCAAGCGCAGTCTTATCCAAACTGAACTTTTACTTTATATTCATTAAACCGTTTCCAACAAGAACGGTGGAAGACAGAGAAAATGCACTCGACATGCTCGTATTCAATTTTCATAACAAGGAAGGTGTCAGAGGAGGACACATACTTGCACTTCAAAATAAAAGCATTTCCAGTGAAACGTTGTACCTTTTTAACTTCTATCAAGAATCAAGTAAACAAATGTTTTACTGCCTTAAATAAAACAAGTTACAACAGTTAGTCATTCTTAATGTCCTTACAGTACATCTATCCCATGTTATATTAAAGTACATTGTGTAACAATGAGTTAACTCTCCCAGGACTCTGAGCCGTCAGGACCTGGTGGACTACATCAGCAGCCACTACAAAGCCCCCCGCATGGTGCTGTCCGCTGCTGGAGGTACGTCCTCTTCATCCTAACGCACACACTGTGAGGAGGCACCCTGCTAGCTGTGGTTTTCTACTTGAAATGCTATGTTAATGTAGCATGCTTCCTCTGCAGGCGTGAACCACGAGGAGCTGGTCGGTTTGGCCAAATCTCACTTCAGCGGTGTCTCGTTCGAATACGAGGACGATGCCATCCCCGTGCTGGGCCCCTGCAGATTCTCAGGCAGTGAGGTGTGTTGAGAACATGATCTTCTATTCTTCTGCTATTCAACATAACCATTATTCACCATCCTTCAAATGTATAACTGTGCCAAGTCGGAGAAATCACTGAACATGACCATCTCCTCTCCTCAGATCCGTATGCGTGACGATGCTCTGCCTCTGTGTCACGTTGCCATCTCTGTTGAAGGCGCCGATGCTTCCAGCCCGGACATCGTGACTCTCATGGTGGCCAACTCCATCATCGGCAGCTTTGACCTCACCTACGGCGGTGGAAAGGTTGGTGACATGGGTTGTTTGTTAAGCTGGAATTGTGGTTAATGCAGTTAAGAAAAAAGACACGGATGAATTGTATCCAGCAGTGTCCCCTTTTAGCTTTGCCCACTTGAGGTTGATAGTGCCTTGAGTGGCCATTATAAAGGGGTAGATTATGATCCTCCCTGATGGACCTGGGTCAGGGGGTCTCCCCTCTGCCTCTGGACATCTCGGGAGGAACAAGACTCTGAAATATTAAAGCAGTGTCGAACATTGGTTTAATCATGGAGAGGCCAATCCCTGCATTGGAAACACAGGGGGTCCGCGGGGTCTTAAAAAGTATTAAAGAATTGATAAGCGAGGTTTGTGAGCAAATGAGAGCTATTAAAAAGTATTGAACGGCATTTCCAAGGTATTACATTTTGTAGCTTGTTTCGATAAGTATATAAATTGCCAAAGAGGTTGTATTCT